AACCTATGACACGCGTGTCAGAGGTGACACGCGAACTAATTTTTTAGTTGATTTTTCTTTGTTAAATGGCATTTAAATATAAAAAATAAATATCAAAAATATAAGTCTTTGTTTTACTTTGGTTGCAAATATCAAAACATTTCTATATCTGACACGGCACCAGAGTTAAGTTAGGGTTTTTCAAAATGCTGACACCCCGAGCTCAAAAGGCTCTCCATCACTGGCTTAGACCCTAGCCCTTCATAAAGGACCCTTCCCTCCCTACCCCAATGCCGTATTACAATTCATCTCCTTTGTAAAGCCTCTCCTATGACCCTGAACCTCCTTAACACTTTTAATTTTACTTGTTTTCCATTTTTAATTTTAATAACATTTTTAATTATGTAGCTATTGTACTTATTTGCTTATTGCCTTTTTATCCCCCACCCCCCATACACACACACACACACACACACACACACACACACCACACACACACACACACACACACACAACTTAAACTCTACAAGAGCTCTTTGACCAACGCAAAGGCAGGCACATGAACAAATGAATAAATAGGGCATGTCAGCCCTCTAATGTGTCCTCGCTGTCATTCTCTTTCCTGCTTCCTTCCAGCCATACTCTCCTTTCCAGAATACTTATCTGCTTTCAAACTTTCCCCTTAGTTCATCTTTTTTTTATAGACTCAATTTCAGGTTTAAAATTTTAAATGCTTTTGTGCTTTACTGTTAGAACAGGCCACGTTATATTTTAGGACCTTATGTTAAAACCATCATTGCAACAAAATACAGCTTATAGTGTGGTCCACGATATCAAAATCCACTACTGGCTTTCACTTACATTAATGAAAAGTATGATTTGCTTCAAGACAGGGAGTGTAACATTTTAACAGAAGACTTCTTAGGCCAACCTAAAGAAGCCATTTTTAATGAAGTCGACTAGTGAGATGATCATTTCTTAGACCCCAAATAAAATGCCAATTATAAATGCACTATTGACATCCAGCATACAATTTATCTATCTTATAGGAAATTGTAAACCTACATCTTTTGATGATTTGTACAATTAGCAAGTCTTCATGATGTCAAAGGGTGGAGTAGCTTTGGAAAGAAAGGAACAGGTATCTTCTCGTTGAAGCAACCCCTGGTCATTCTGTGACGGAATGTAAGCTAGATATGTGGGTGCATTTTCCCTTTAAATAATGAAGTCATCGTGTACTTTACAGCATTATTAATACCCTAGAAGCAGGAGTGTGGCACGTGAAACCCATTTACTAAGTCAGCATAACATATAGAAGGAACATAGAATGTTTGTGACTACATAGTTGTAATTTCTCAGCACGAACTATCAGTACCTTTGATGACTTTGTTTTTTCAATCAGAAAAAAGCTCACTCCCAGCTCCGGATCTCAGGCCTCCACCCTTCCGCTTACTGGTTTGGGCAGGCGTTGGTGGACGTCCCACTGTACTTCTTGATCCTCCTTGTGATGCAAATAATGGATTACATTTTTAACCCAGAGGAAATGATAGTTATAATCCAAAACTTGTTGATTCAGGTAAGTGGCAAAAATTAGGAAATGGTTTATTAGATTATTTTTAATGGATGCAGTAACATTATTCATCTTAAACCAAAGAACTTCACCTTACTTCTGCTAGTGCATAGTTTGGAAAGTTGGGGTTTAAGTAGGAATACTTTCCTAGATAGCGTTTACCTTATTCAACCTTAATCTTCTCTTTTCAGATCCTGTGTAGTATTGGATATGTCACATCTCTTATTTTCTTCACATATGTGATTTCATTCATTTTTCGCAATGGGAGGAAAAATAGTGGCCTTTGGTCATTTTTCTTCTTAATTGTAAGTAGGCATACAGTGCACATTGTTTTGTTTTTAAACCAGTTTATATAATTTTAAGAATGTATATTTTAATCTTTATACTAAACAGATTGGTAAATTAATGCTCTCTAGACAATTCTAAATAAGATAATCATAGACACATACAAAATATACTGTATGTGAGGGTGTGCACCATTTATAAAACTAGGACCTCAAACATGTCTCTAGGTG